GCGCGCTGCTTTTCAGCGCAAATGCAAAATGTGCTCATTCTCCGAACGCGACGAAGACGCAGCATGGCCGCCTAGCATGAAACGAATCGGAGTCCCTGTCGCCGGTGTCCACGCTACACCGACGACACGTTCGTCGTCGTCGTCGTCGTCTGTCTGTCTGTCTGTCTGTCTCTCTCTCTCCTCCCCTCCCCCTCTCCCCCTCTCTTTCTGTCGTATCCCCTCTATCTCTATCTTTCCTTCGCACTTTTCCGCATGCAACTTCCTCCCGCTGTGTTTGCGCGTCTCCTCTCTCTTTCCCCCCTCCCCTCACAGACTTATAACTGCATCTCTCTCTCTCGCTCTCTCTTCTTCTACCTCTTGCTCGCGGGTCGTCTGTCTTCTTTTACGTTGCTGCGAGGCTTTCGCTCTCGTCGCGCTTCGTCCCGTTGGACTCGCTTGTTTTTACGATGCGTCTTTGTTTCGTAAATGCACTTTTCCTTTCTCCCCATCTCTCTCACTCCCTATTCTCCTTCCTCTTCTCTCCATTCAGTTCCCTTCGTGGCTTGTCTCTCTGTCTCTCCTTCTTCTTTCTCCCTTTCTCTTTCCTCTTCCTCTCCGTCTTACGTCTCCTCCATGTCTTCCTCTCTTTCCAACCATCCCTCTCTCTCTCTCTCTCTCTCTCGCTCTCGCTCTTTCTCTTTCTCTTTCTCTCTCCGTCTCCCGCGTATCGCTCGCCGGAGCACAAATAAAGTCTGTCTTTCTCTCTCGCTCCGCGAGGAGGGCTCTCGCTCCATCTCCCTCTTAGCGGCTTTTTCTTCCTCTCCCACGGTTTCTACATTAGTCTCTCGTTCGTGTCCCCTGATCGTGTGTTTCATTCGAAAATAGAACGTCAGCGCGCGCGTGCCACGCACGCATTTTTGCCGCGAAAACAGCGAATTCCCGCTCGCGGACTCGCTCGTTCGCTCACACGCACGCATGCACGTACGCACGCACGTACGCACGCGCGCGCGTGCGCGCGCCCAATCGCAGCGAGCTCTTTACCTCGCGTCTTTACCTCGCATTTTGCGAGAGTTATGCGACCACCTCGTAGTCGGGGTCGCACGCGTATACTCACGCGTCGGCTGCTTGCGTCTCTCTCTCTCTCTTTCTCTCTCTCTCTCTCTCTCTCTCTCTCTCTCTCTCTCTCTCTCTCTCTCTCCCCCTTTCTCCCCTCCCCCCTCCACCTCTCTCTCTCTCTCTTCTTCCCCCTCTTTCAGCTGCTCGCTACGCACATCACCGGGGTCATCGCATATTAATCTCGCAGAAATCGTGAGGCCTTCGCGTAACCACGCGCGACATGGTAGATTTCATGAGCGTCGGTCATTACGACAATAATGCGCGAGAGACACGTGCGCCAAAACCAATCTGGAATTCCACTCCCCTCTTGGGATTACAATGGATTTTTCATTACGCACAGCGTGATCCTGCAATCCTTATTTTAGTAGGGTCGTTGATCAGATTAGATGATCGCGGTTGCAAAGTTACGGGAATGCTTTATTTAGAATGAAATGCTTCGGGGCATTTCTGAGAATTTACTCGGTAGATAGAAATTATTACTCTCCCCTGTATGGATAAATGAAGAAATTGAGTTTACCACGATCTATCTGATTGACTCGCGAATTGTTTGAAAATTGTTGCGAGCGTAGAAATTATTTATCTCGCATCTATAGATTAATAACAAACTCCACGAGGAAGATGTCGCTGGTCGAAGCAGCGGTGGCGATATTGCTGATATGTGAGAGAGAGAGAGAGAGAGAGAGCTGAGACGCTCAAGTTACTGACGCGAATATACGAATGAAACGACATTCGTTTTCCTTTTTCTCTCTAGAAGCATCACGTGTGAATCGCCAGACGTTTCGCTCCGTGAATAGCGAGCTGAATAATTAGTTGTACCTCGCGCTCCGTCTCTCTGTCCCCTATCATACCTCGCATTCTAAATTAAGTTACTTTAATTATCCGCTGCGCAGCGCTACAGGGTGGACGGATAAAACGCGTCACGTAACACAAAGGTGAACGTCTGTCCCGCTGAGCGAGGAGAGCGCGCGTGGTAGACGCGCGCACGCGACGATATTTTGGCGGGAGAGTCGTAAAAATAGTGCCTCCGCGGTTTCCTTCCTTCGGCTACGGTACTATAATTAGCGAATATTCCGCGTTTTGTACGGCGAGATACGTATTCGCGCGCGTGATCTCACGTCACGGATAAGATCAATCGGCCGCTCGCTCGTATGCGCGGTGTCGCCGGAGACGACACCGATTCCAGCCGCGCGGGACCTGCAATCGTTATCAGCGAGAGCCGCCGCCGCGTACACGGATTTCGCATTAGACGAGTGCGCCAAGTAGAAGCGGCAGACCGATGCTGTGTTCTCTCGTCCTCCACACGAGGTCCCTACCATGCCGACCCGACCCTCCACCACGTCTCACCAGCGGGACACTCGCTATTCGCGGGCGACCCCAACACAGCCGCGACGCGAATTCGCTCCGATCGATTCAAAGGACAGACTTGTTCCTACGACGGAAACGCCGGCGGCTCTCGCCGACTTACATAGTTCGCGAGTGATTAACGAGCGGGAATGAATTCGGAACTCGCGAGAGAGAGAGACAGAGAGAGAGAGAGAAAGAGAGAGAGAGACAGAGAGAGAGAGACTGCTGTCGAGAATCGCGGCTGGATCTCGCCGCGCTCCAACGTGCGAACGACCGCGACATGCCGGAGTAATTGCACTTTCTTCTTGAACACGTCGTCTTCATACGCGAGATTTTCACTCGATTTTTACGGGCGACTACGCGCGACTACGACGATGACGACCGTACGACCCGGCCGCGGTCGACATCGTCGGCCTCACGGCATCACGGCCGATCGGGCACAACAATGTTCGCGCGGCGCGTGCTCATAAAAATAGCGTTTTCGCAGTTTCTCCCTCCTTACGGCTATACTTAGCCCGGGCACCGGTGTCCCTCGCGTAGTAAACAAATTTTGAGGAGGGTCGACCCTCGTGTGTAACGAGAAGCGCCGCCCGTATATTCCTCACTCGCCTGTCTCTATTTTTTCATCTCTCTCGCGCGCGCGCGCATGCGCGTCTTAAATATTTTTAGAGATGGAGCGCACTTCGGATTTTTGTCTCTTGTCGCGGGGGAGTATTCGACAATAATCACGTCGTTCCGGATTCGCTGCGTCTCCTTCGCGAAGTTCAAGCGAGCGCGCGGAGACGTGCTCGTTCCGATAGTGAGATATGAATTTTTGAATTTTGAATTTCGAAGCGAGACGGTCGATCGCTCGAGGAGTCTCGGGCGATAAGAACGAGGTTAAGAGATTCCGACGAATCGGGACCGCGAGGTTACATGAAAAATCCGTGTGCGTGTTTGTTCGTTTCTTCGCAATTAATTTCTAGTGGACTCTAGTGGCTCTAACGTAAGCTACTTAACAGCTTCGGACTTAACAGTTCGCCGAAGCGGTGCCCGATCTCTCTTCGCTACCCATTACTGCGGTTACATTTTTTAGATCAGTCTGTCTCTCCTCGTGAGAGACGTCCGTATATACGTATTTTCGGTGTTTCTTCGCTCTGTGCGCATGGTTCAACGTGTCACTTGTATTACACCCCGGAATTAGTTATTTAAGCTATTCGCTGCTAACAGAGAACGATGATGCATAAGCGCTTGAAATATAGAGCACGAGAAAGCGGTCGCACCTGTCGGCCGGGGCTCTTCTTTTTGCGTTGCCAGTTTGCGATGCCAAAATCGGAGAGCGCTAATTAATGAATGGGATATGGAATGTATGTAACCCACTTGCGCCCGGGAAAGAGAGAGAGAGAGAGGAGGGGGGGGGGCGGGGGCTAGAGCTAGTCGCTCGCGCTACCGCGAGCGATCTAGCGACAATACGAGATCGGCTACGATACTTTTAGCGCGTCCGCTCGAGGCGGCTTTCAGCGCGTGCGCTTACACGTCGCCCTCGTGTCGCACGCGCGTCGTCGACGACGGAGGTCGGCCACGTACGTGTCACCTGGCTAATGACGCTGTAATTGCCGCGAGAAGGGGCCATAAAACGACCGCCGTGATGAATAGAAGAGGTCGCGGATTATTGAATGAAGCGACTCGCGTTAGCGCGAGTCATCGCGCGAGTCCGTGGAGGCGAACCCGTTTAAGGACGGGAAAGCCAGACGCGTCAAATCATTCTCTTCCCCGTCCAGCGATAATGACGCGAGCTTCCTAACGACTGTTTCAGATCGCGACGTAGGCTTCTTCGCGACCTCGCCACCTCACCGCACGCACCGCGTCGTCGACTTCGCCAGTCGACCGACGTTCCGACTCAACGAGGAGGACGCGGACGAGGAAGCGGAAGCGTGTGAAGCGCGAGCGGAGGATGCCGCGCGACGCATCCGGGCCACGCCGATGCAGCGAGCATCGGCGGGACGCGAGTCGCCGCGGCGCCGGCCGTTTTTCGCGGGGTGCGCGATGATGGCGGAACGCGCGCCGACCGAGGCAGTATCGTCCGGGCCGTCGATCGAGCACGTGGCAATCATCGGCCATCGCGGCGCTGAGCGCAACAGCAGCACGTGCGAGCAGCTGGGTCGCGCGACGCTAACGAGCTAATAAATGCTAGAACGGCACGCCGGCATCGCGAGTAGTAGCGATCGAGGTGGAACAACGAGCATCGCGACGACCGTGAACGCATTGCTGCACGAAAGGCGAGCCGTGCTGATATCGGCGCGGCGACGCGACGCCGGCGATATATCATCGTCGTCATCGGGAGCAGACTAGTTCCTGGGGAGGAGAACAAGCGGCGGGAGGAGGATCCGCTGCACCGCGTGGTTGCATGCAGATCGCGAGGTCAGCCGTGTCAGTGAGGAGGAAGACACACGGGTGAAGGAACGGGAGAAGAAGGAGGAGGAGGAGGAGGAGGAGGAGGAAGAAGAAGAGGAAAAAGAAGAAGAAAACGACGACGAAGTTGACTGACGCGAGCGAACCGCGGACTGTGACCGCCGAATTGAACGGCCTCGCGCATTTTTATCGTACGGCAGGGGCTAGCGGGAGCCACCACGGGGGCGGGGGTGGGCTTGCCCCTGCTTTTTCTCGTTGTTGCTCTCCTCGACAATCTCACGCGCGCGACAACGGCCGCGTCGTTGTCACCGTCGTTGTCACAGTCGCTGCCGCCACCGCCGGTGCTTCCCCACTCGGACGTCCACCCCGACACTACGTCCGTTCACCTGCCGTCGTCGCCGTCGCCGTCGCCGTCGCGACCGCCGTATGACCGCCGTACGTTCGCGTCGCGCTTGTTCCGCGAGCCGATTAAGCGCGCCGCCAGCTTAACCGAGATCGGCCGCGCGAGTCGAGGAACTCTGGATCATCTTACGCTGTCGTCCGCGCCGCTGTTATCGTTGACATCGCCTTTGCTACTGACGTCGCCTCTGGCATCGTCATCGTCGTCACTGTCGTCGTCGTTGTCGTCACCGTCGTCGTCGTCGTCGCCGTCGTCGCCGTCGTCGCCGTCGTCGTCGTCGCCGTCGTCGCCGTCGTCGTCGTCGTCGCCGTCGTCGTCGTCGTCGTCGTCGTCGTCGTCGCCGTCGCCGTCGCTCCTGCCGTTATCGCCGCCGCCGTTCCCGACGCCGCGAATAAGTGACAAGATATTGTCGACCAGCCGATGGACCCTCCCGGCGAATCCCGTCGTCGTCGAGCATCTAGATCATCTGACGCCGGCTCGTGACGGCGAGATTCAAGAGACCAGAACGCAAAGAGCAAGAACGAAGCGAGTACCGATCACTAAACGATCCAAGTTGAAAGACCAACCTTCCCCGAACTTTATCGAACTTTGGCCGGAGGCATGGCGACGCGTCGATGAACATCCGCTTCAAGCTCCACGCAGGGTGGAGTTGACGCCATCCGTCGAACATGGAGTTGGCCCCGCAGCACGAGCTTCCACTTCGTTGTTAGAGCCCATCTTCAAGTTCGGAGAATCAGTATTACGTCCAGAGAATTCTCTGCGGGATATCTTATTCAACGAGGCCGCTTCGAAAACAACAACAACGACGACGACGACGACGACGACCACGACAACAACAACGGCAACGGCGGTGACGACGACCAACTCGAAAACGCCCACGGCGACGAGAACGGTCCCGTTCACACAGGAGACTGCGTATGTCGGTGCGATTCAGCAAACCGGAAGCACTGTGCCGGAGAAAGATGACATCGAGGGAGTGACCGCGGAGGTGGTAGTAGGTGTCGCGGATAAGAGCGGGAGGGGGTTGGTGTTCGCGAAGAACGATAATGGTGAGGTCGTAGTTGGTGGTGATAGTGTCATCGAGTGGACCACGACGACAGTCGCCGGGCCGATGTCATCGTCGCGGTCGTTTTCCGGAGACGACGTGCAGGTGGCCGAGCGTGTAAGGGTGCGGTCGGGTTCCGAACGAAGCTCGCCGAGGGGTGAACAGAGTGACGACACCGAGGAGCAGGTCAAGGTCACCGTCCCGCACGGCGAAGACTCGTCCGTATCGTCGACCACGACGACGACGACGACGACGACGACGACGACGCAGCGACCGACATCGACTCACGACACCTCTATGGAAGCATGTGAGTACCGACCCAATTCAACCCAATATATTTGTGAACTCGGTACTAAAAGATTGTAATTCCATAAAGCAAAAATGATAAATTGAGAAAAAATAAATATTTTTCTTTTTCGCTGGGAATGTAATATATTTAATTGCAACTGAGCGCGTTAAGAGTTCCGTCATATTTCGCGTTTAAAGCGTTTTTTCAGCAGGGACGATAAAACATGTACACGCACGCGAACATGTTTTCATATGGCGTTATCTCTTTTCAACATTACAATTTAATTATATTGAAATTTTTCGGAATAATTGCGATATTTTAACTTGCTGCCATCGGCAGCAAAATTTAACAAAGCTTTGCCTCTCTAATGAATTTCCACCATTGAATCGCGGGGAATAAAATCGAAAATAATCTTTCGATATTCCGCAAGCTCCTGCTCTACGCCGCTCGAAAACACTCGAAACAATTAGGCTCTATCTCGAGCAGTTTTACTACATCAGACCGCGACGTCGAGATAATTCGAAGAATATCTCTTGCACCGCATGCAAATATGTATCCGCAACAGCTTAAAATTAGTGAACTGAGTGAGAGGGAAGTGGTCGATATTTCAAGTACCAATCGGGCCATGTGCGCGACTGAAGAAACGTTCCCCTGATTGTTCTCAGCGGTGTACACGGAGCACACATAACGATCCCCCTTTCTTCGTCTCGTAAGCCACTCGCTTCACCCCTGAATAAGACATCCGAGCGCGTCTTGTCGCCGTGCTATCTCGCAAAACCTCGTCGAGATCACCGATCCGCGCTAGCACGCGAGTCTCGCCATGCTCGTTTTGCCGTGCTCTCGTGCTCTCGTGCTCGTGCTCGTGTTTACAGGAACCGCAGGGGGGATCCTCGGTTATTTTTAACTATTCCAACCGCGTGCGCGCGGCCACCTTCCCCATTCCTCTCTTACGCTTCTTTTTTGCCTCGTACTGGCCGTATCCTCGCGTACCCTCTTGCGTACCTTTCTCGGCGAGCCGAGCAGAAATTGGAGCGCCGTTCACGTCCGTTCTTTCGGCCGGGCCGAAGGAAGGAAGGGAGGGAGGCAGGGAGGCAGGCAGGCAGGCAGCTTTTTCAGATACTAGCCGCCGGTCCCTTCTTTTTTCCCCTCCTGTTGTTTCACCTAGTAGTGGCTCTTTTTATTCGGCCTCTCCGTCGCGAGAGCCGGTGCTCCTCTCCTGCGCGCGCACGTGGAGTGTGATGGATTTTTAGGCAGGCCTCGTCCTCGTTCGACGCCCACGCGTTTTCGCGTAACACGCTGGGAGCCCGAGTAATACTCACGGAATTAAAAGGCGTTGCTTCTCCGAAATTGAATTCGTATCTGATTATGTCCTTCCACTAATAGCATCACGAGGGGCTTGGGTTTTACACGCTCTTCTCCGTTTTTGTTTATTTATTTTTTATATTCCGCTATAAAGAGACGAGCGAGGGTAAAACCGAGGTTTGGTAAGAGTGCGCGATAAACATTTTATTGGCAATAACAGCGGTGACAAATGTTTCTCGGCTGTCGGAAAAATCGCGCGATGGCTTTAGCTTTCGGGACAAAGGGCGGCAAGGATGAGAGGGGACTTTCCCACGCGGTTGATCCGTTTTGCGTATACGCGCGACCAATTAATCGCGGGGAATCACTAGGCTAGACTGCGAAGTCTAGATTAGTGTACCGCTGCGAGAAAGAGAGGGAGAGGGAGGGGGGAGGAGTGAGAAGGAGAGAGCTGACACGGGATCGTCACTCGGCCCTGTCACCTTGTGTGTTTTTGATTACGTCTGGCTACGTACACGAGTCGTGACCTCGCGTACAAATCAGCCGATTAGTCCTCTCGCGCACCGGCCGAGCGTGTACGCTTCGTCTCTTCCACTTTCCCCGCGCTCCCCAGCCCCCGCCCCCTCCCCCATTCACCCCCTGTCATGCCTTGTCGCACGTGCGAATTATGCAGCGGTCACAATGCCGGGCAACTACAACTGCGACGGGAACAACGATTGAATCCTCGTCATCGCCATCGACCGCGAGCTTGACTTTCGATTCACGTACGAGAGAAAGAGGGGGGGGGGGCGGGGAGAGCGAAGGAATGAAGTTTCCTCGGCGGCGCGTCCCACCGTCGAAAGTTTCGACGGTCGACCGCGATGAATTAAACGCGTCGAATGAAATTTTATTCTCATATCAGTGACAGGGAGTGCGGAGGAGGAGGAGGAGGAGGGAGAAAGAACGAGTTCACTTGGCCGTAAAGTTTTAATTTTCGATCAATATACACCTCTATCTCGTATTTATACAGGTCGATTGTGCGACTGAGACAAGTCGTTATTTTTAGCTTGACCCTTGACACAACCGATATCGCCGTTATGTCTCCGTTAGGTATCGCGATAAAGTTATAAAGTGAATCGCATCGATCATGATCAGCTCACACCATCACCTGCATCTCGCGTGTAAAAGCAGCCCGATCGTCATTAGCGAGACGTCGCAGCGCGAAAACACTTCGTTGCGTAAGGTTCGCAGCTGGAAGGGTGAATTCTCGCGTGTATGTGTGTGTGTGTGTGTGTGTGTGTGTGTGTGTCGCTCTGGTGATTCGTGTACGAGCGCGCGAGTCTGTAAAAGAAAAAATATGCCGTCGTCGATGGATTTTTGTTCGCCGCGCGCGATCGCTGTCCGTACGTTTGTATCATTACTTAACGCGTTTATTTCCGTGCTCCTGCAAGAGCGGACTCGTTCTTCTCTTTTACGATCTAATTCGTGATCTGGACAGTTCCCAACGGTGAGTTCTCGTGACTGCGCGATACCCAGTACCCGGTATAAGAGGAATGACTAAATGGCCTGAGTAACCGGTCAGGCATCCCAAAACTCGCGATTTATTTTCGTATCCCTAGAAAAGAACTGACGCACCAGTGATACGCGAAGAGAGAGAGAGAGAGTGAGAGGGGGGGTGGGGGAGGGGCGAGGCCATGTTCTCGCCCTGCGTGTATTCAAAGAAATACTCGGGAGACGGCCGCGAGAGCGACCGTATATATTCTTATAACGATAATTCGCCCCGTTGGAGAAAATCGGTTTCCGATAATCGTCGTCGCGATTCGCGTCGCGGGATTTATCATAATTATTAAGACCTTTTGAAAATTTCACGAGCGACCTTATCGTATCCATTCTATCCGCGTGTGCGATTCCTCGACTCACTTTAATAGACTGTCTCACAAATCCACGAGAGTGAAAGAGTGAGAGAGAAAGAGAGAGTAGGAGGAAGGGAGGGGAGAGAGAGAGAGAGAGAGAGAGAGAGAGAATTTGGGACAAAATTCTGTTTGTGTGATCTTGCGCGCCGTGCTTGTTATAGACACACGTCTATAAATACAATTCTGACCCTTTGGATACGCGTTTTCTCGCGTACGTAGCTCCGTTCTGATTTCTATTGTGAACTATAAATCCGACCGATTCGCGCACACCTCGGAAGAGGATTAAAGAGCCTCTCGCAGTTTTACACCCGCCGCTAGCCCGCCGTGGGGGTAATACCCGCGCCTGTTTTTATCGCGTAAAGCTCGAAGGGTTTTTTATATATATATATATATATATATATGGTTTTATATATATATATGTATGTATATATATTTCTTTCTGAAACGCCGCGGAGGGACCCTCCGCGTTCGACGCGGAATTTCACCGGGTCGATCGGCCTCTGCCGTCGCTCGGTGTGTCGCGCGTTCTCGCGTATTAACGGCGTATATCTCGGAATTCGAAACCGACAGGACGCGTTAAGGGTGGCAGCCAGCCGGTAGGTTACCGCAGAGCGCGAACGGGGCCGGCAGGAGGGAAGGGGGCACACACCCCGCCGGCGAAGAGCGAAAGGGCTTGGTCGCTATGGTAACCCTGGCACACGGCTCCGACTGTGGGGTGCCTCAAGTTTTTTATGGCCCGAACGATCGGAGGGTCGAGACTCTAAAAATCGTTACACAGACCTAGATACACGCCTCGCGCGCTCCCCGCTCCCCGGCCTCTCGTTCTCGCTGCAGGCCCCCCTTCCCCCACCCCCAGCACTCGCCACCCTTCCGGTCACGGACCTTACGCAACAGCGTTTTCGCGCTGCGTTGTTTCGCTAATTGCGATCGGCCGGCTTTCACGCGCGAATTGCTGGCGAACAGCGCTTTCGAGGATATATCTCACGCGGGGGAGGACGCGTTACATTTCCCGCGCGCCGTCCGTCGCGATTGCTCGCGATCGGGAGTTCCCTCTTACCGTGTCGATCCGGCTCGATTTCGGTTTTACTTAGAATCGTGCGCGCAAACAGCGCACGCATGCGTGCGTATCTATCGGCAGACCTAATCGCAGACCTAATTCGGACTTTTTGACATTCCGATGTAATATTCAACGGCGAGTCGCGAGTTATTTCGGCGCTGCGATTTCGTACCGCGGCGGATTTGTGATAATTGTTCTCGCGATGGGTTCAAGAATATCCCGCGAGTTAAATGTTATACGCTCGCAGGCCGTTATATCATACGCGACGAGGATAGACCGTGAATGTTTCATAACGTTATCTCGCGGACTTATCGGCGAGCTCGTAGCAGCGAGTATCGGAGCCTACCCTCTTTAACGATCGAGGACTCCGCGTGGAAAATCTCATGATTCTTTGCATCGCATGAAGCTTTCGATTATCCGAGCCACTCCCGAGACCACTTTTATTCCTCCGCGCTCCGAGTGGACACTCGTCGCGACATTCTGCCGTCGTTTCCGCTCGTTCCTTCCGTTCGTCACCCACCGGCCTTCGCGTCTTCACGACGAACGTTCGCGTAGATCGACGGAACTCGCGACACGTCGATCGTATTTGTGCTCGACGATGGGCAGAGAAGGAGGAAGGAAGAAGGGAGAGCCAGAGGAAGAGAGAGCGAGAGCGAGAGAGAGAGAGAGAGAGAGAAAGGACAGGAACGATGCAAAACCCCACGGTACTCTTGGCACCCTCTACGCTTTCCCAGCGAAAGAGGGTGCGCGACGTCGGCGGGTTGATAGCG